TAATATTAATTTAGTACAAAGAAATAATATAATATATATATATCTATATCTATATGTATACAGATATATATCTATATATAGATATCTATATATATCTATTTTCAACTAGTCAAATTTCTAGGATATAAGACCTTTGGATAAGGATGCATCTTTAAGGTATACAGCAAATTTTGATCTCATAATCATTTTGTTTGAAATACATTTGCTTGTGATGGATGACTTAAGTTTAAAAAGATAGTGGTGATATTGGCTTTGATATAAAAAAAATTAGCAAAAAGAAATACACTAACTTCAGTGGGCTTCTGACTGCACTCATTAGTAGTTTTGGTAATACTCTTCGTGAATAGATGTGTGTGTCTTTTTTGACAGAGGTAACTATTCAAAACCTTTTAAAAGCATCTAAATAAGCCTTTAAAATTTATTCTTCCAAGTCTTTTCCTTGGGTATTTTGATTATACTAAATTTAAGCTCTAACAAATAGGCTTGGAACATTATTTCCAATCGCAAAACATTTGCTTTTTAAATTGCGAAAATAAAGAAAATTAAGGAAGAATAATGTGAGGTGAGGTACTTCCTTGCTCTCACATCTTTACTGGGCATGCTTACACAAGACGTTTATTGTGGAGTTGACCAATTAGCTTTGCGGTAAAACGGCACTAGCCACATGTGTAGTGCTATTAAACTAAACTCCGTCATAGGACAGTACTGACAGACACAAGTACTAACCTAGGGCAGAATTATTTACTCTTCTGCAATGACATGTAGATGCTGATGGGCTAGCTGGGGCATGAAGGTGCATCAGTGTGGGGGCTGTCTATGAGCGTGCCCAGCACTGTAGGCCCTTCACAGCATACTGAGTCAGGGTGGAGCAGCTCAATATGTTGCATTCCTGGGCTCATGTGCAAATGGGGCGCCTGGAAGCAATCAACTTTTATTTAGTTTAGTTTTAGTTTATTCAGCCACATTAACTGCATGTGTAGACACGCCCACTGCTTCCTTTAAACCTATGCTTTTACAGTGTAAAGCTGGCCTAAAAGTAGTTCAGGTGCACGATTGTTGGTATATATATGGAAGACAGAAATGATGTAGATCAATTCTGTTTCTCTCTTCTGTTAAGTAGAGCTATTTAAAAATATCAGGTTGGCCCCTCAGTTACTTATGGCCAGTAGAAAATGATTATGATTAATTCAAGGGATATATGAATATTTTAATCTTATTGTGATTTCAAATAACTTCGAAGCTGCATTAATCTAATATTGCACTTAGTGGTTCCAATCCAAAGCATCTGTGATCTGCAAATACAAATAGTGCAAAAACACATAGTAACCATAATGTTAATTTTTCATAGTCTTTTGCAATGCATAAGATAAACTAAATTCCAGTGAACCAAGTAATCACTTGACTAAAATCTCCTTCTATCTAAGTGAACATGTATGGTAAATGAGCAATCCATGTGATTTCTGGAAAAGCTATTTAGAGCAGCATCTTTTTACAAACACTGTCCTTTGATATCAAGCATTCATTTATGCGGGATGAAAGGCTATTCCATAAATCAGCAGCAAGACAGGGAAACTTGCTGATATCTCTGTTTAAATGGCCAATAATATTTTGTGATGCATATCTCGGGGGATAAAAGAGCAGGGAATTTGGTAGGGAGGTCACACAAGTAACGTTGTTGTCAGAGCAGCAGTTAGGGCCAAATATGTTCAATGATCATTACCTAGGTCAATAAATCCATGGAATGAAAAGCATCAAATGGTTATTTCTTGGAAGGACCCTGAGAAGGACACAACACTGGTAGAGACTGTCCTGTGTGACTTACCTGGAGGGAGATGTTTGCCTGAGGACGGATTTTGGCTGATGGCAGCTCAACGTAGGAGTCTTTCCCAACAAAATTGACGGTGATGAGTTTTTCACACTTCTGGCCAGCAAAACCAGCCAGGCAGCGGCAGGCTGGCTCATTGTGCACAACAATGCACTGAGCCCCATTCTGGCATTCATAGTTATCACAAGGGCTGGTCTGCAGCAGAACCATTGGCGGAGGATTTTCACAGAAGAGTCCACTTTAATAGGAAAAGAAAGAAAAAGCACCTGTAATTATCTCCATCCCATAGCACACAGGAAGCATTTTCAAGACCTGAGATTCAAGCATTTGTACAGTACTCTGAGTCCCTGAGATTCGCACAGTGGATGGCATTGTGACCCCCTGGCACTTCAAATTACATGTATGAAAATAAAGTAACTTATTACAGCATGGGCATGAACCAAAGCTCCAGAACTGATTTTCCACCCTCCATACAACCAGACACACATGTTCCTTACTTAAAATTTCAGATCTAAACTTTGGGCCTTGATGACATCTCACCAAAGCAGATGATACGTGGCAAAATCTGTTTCTGTGTTTTTTTTCTTTTTTAAAGGTCTCCTTGGTCTTACTGTATATGTATAAACTCCAAAAGAGGTTTCCTCCCTTTCAGGGTATGACCATTTTCTGAAGCATACCAAGATTAATACACTGACATCATGCTGCTTCCTGGGCAGCTACCCAATGTTGCCATTTCTAACAGCAGCAGGAACATCAGATCACTGTTTAGATGAGCTTCTGGTTATGTCATTGAACTGAACAAGCTCAGTGAAAAGTAAGGGCTGTGATAGTTAGAGATGGCTCAAAACCAAAAAGCCAGATCTGGGCACTCATGAAGGCTGAGGTTAGGGGATGTTCAGGTCCAGACCTATACTCTGTGGCTGACACTTAGCTGTTTAATAGCTCAAGCAAAACCATGCATATTAACACAGGAACTTTGAGGACTGGGCCATATCTCCTAGCACTGGCTGTGGTTCACCTTTCTGTGTTGGTTTTCTGATTCATAGAATCAGAAATATTTCTAGACTATTTGCCTTCTCCAGCAGGTCAGGATGATGAAACTTTACTGATATGTGCTAAATAATACAGAGGAAGAAAAACCATTAAAAATGCAGTGATCTTTCAGTGTGATGTTACTTGATCAACTGATATGTATAAAGTAAACTGGAAACCCTGCCCAGTATATCCACTGAACTCAAATGATCCAGCAGTATTGTGAGGCGACCACATTAGCAGGCAATCTTGCTAATCCCACAGAGAGGTTCAAGGCAGAAAAGCCCATCAGTGCACCCGTTGTATGCCGCAGAGTTTCTAATTATGGTAGCTTTTCAAAACCAACAAAACCTTTTTGTGCTAATGAGTGTAGCAAAGTTCTGTGATCATTTGGAACCACTGCAGCTTGCAAATAACAAAGGAAATGATGAAGAATCGTTGCTCAGTGCATAGAGAACGTAAACAAGGCTTTGCTGTGCTGTGCAGTCAGTGTTCAGTTATCTGAGAGTCTGTACTGCACTCATCACCATGGTATCACAGGCCCTTTTGATAAGAGGGTTGTGGCAGACACATACACTTGCACAAAGTGCTATAATGCCCACCACAGTCCTGGAGCCTTCAAATTCCACCTGCTGTACTGGGAATTTCCTGATCTGAAGAGAAAATTCCACTGAATAACAGAGCTCTTTAAAAATACACTCCATTCCTGCAAGCAGGTGAAACTTGCAGGCTCCAGGGCTTTGTGTAGACAACCTCTCTAAAATTAGAACAGAATTGTAAGCCCTTTACCAAGCAGTAACTGTTGCCAACACTGAAGGTGGAAAGAGATGTAACCTTTGTGCCACCATAAAAATGTTCACAGTGGTGCAAAGTGAAAGCAAACAGACGTCCAAACCTTCTGTCGCACCACAAGTGCTCAAATTTGCGTCCATGAGACAAGGTAGAAATAAACTGGGCTACTTTATTGCAGCCTGCCTCAGTTTGTTTATGGCGAGACAGCACAGGCAGTGTAAAGCTGTCAATAGGCTCCAGCTGTCCCTGGGCATGGGCCCCATGGGCTTTATGGGTCTGGTCCTCCACACCTTGGGAATTCCCTCAAGTTTGGGACTGCCTATCTTGATGTCCCTGCTTACCCAGATGCATGTCTTCAGAGGAAGTCAGGGCTTTGGAGAGTACCCGCAGACAAGAGTACCCGCAAACAAGATTTCCCTTGGCATGCCTGCAAGCACAGAGGGGCAGCCTATGGCCCATGCTGCTCCTGGAAATGCGTGCTAACAAGATATGTATTCCTGGCAGCCACCTGGGGCACAGGCTGCAATGTGGATGGAATTTTCCCCCCTCTGTGCTTGCAAGTGCATGGAGGAAATCTCCTGCAGAGGATTCCTCTGCTCCCTGACATGGGAGGCACATCTGCAAGCTGGGGTATACCCCCACTTGCAGACACACCTCAAATTGGGATTCAACAACCAGAGATGCCTGTAGGGCTAGGGACAGACATTCAAAAAGCCTGAGCCTGAATTGATTCAATCTTTGCAGGTTAGTCTAACCTCCAAAGCTTGAACTGATTTGGAGGTGGATAGACATTACCTTTTCATTCCAGAAATGCAGGCACATGCCTGCAGTGGCTTAGTCTAGAAGCTAGGGGGAGCTAGTGAAGCCCTCCCTTTCCTTCTACAATGCTGAGGTGTGTGTGTGGGGGGGAGGGTGTAGCCAGGCCCCGGCAGGATGCTCTGAGTTGGGAGGGAATCTCAGCCCCCCTCCTGAGCAGCCCAGCAGAGAGTTGATAACACAGTGTTTATCACTCCTAACTCAGTATTTATCAGCCCATTAAGAAAACAAACAGCCTCTCTCATTAATTCAAGCTCTTCTTAAACAACTTTTACCAAGGAAGGAGTGGAGGGACATTACCAGCAACCTGTTGCTTAGCTCCAAAAAGCCCTAAGCTGACACTGTCCTGTCTGCCTTTGTCCCATCTCCAACAGTACAGACCGTAGCCAGCATGTGGTATGCTACCTAATGCTGAGAGGTGTCTTTGTAAGGTGTGTGTGTGTGGGGGGGGATCCTTGCTTCAGCAGGGAGTGGTGAGGGGGAGGGATGGGCAAGAGGAAGCCAGGCAGACCCTAATGTATGTGAAGTCTCTGCCAGAGCTTCAGCCAGGGAGCAGAGGAGAGGGGCCAGCCCAACTCTCTGGAACAGAGAGCTCTGCCCAGCCCAGAGAGCATGCTGGGATGCTGAGGGACTCTGATTTAACTTAAACCAGGATGGGATCTGGGACAGACATTGCATAAATCAGTTTGACCCAAATCAGATAAGTCTGATACTACATTCAACCAGCTTTATCTCAAAGTAGTTTCAGCCATTTTCAAACTGGTTTATGTCCAGTGAACATCTGTTCTGTTACAGGTTTAAAACAGTTTCTGATCACTTAAACCAGTTTGTGTGCAATGTCTGTCCCTAGCCTAGATGTCCCTGGAGTCTCATTCTATTTATGATGTCTGTTTCCAGCCTGGGAGTTACATGGGCTATTATAGCAACAATTCCAGCTTAACCATGGATATCAGAACCTGGGTTTTTTGGGACAACATTTAGTAAGGGCCCTGTGGGTACCAATTCATGGTAGGGAACTTAAAAGTTAGCAAATTTCTGGTAACAACCAACTGGTAACTCTTGGTACTATATAAGAGAGCTGTTAACATCCCAGAAAGTGTTGATATGCCAAATCCTGAATCCACCAGAACTGAGGGATTGACTCTGAATTTAGATCATGTTTGTGAGCAGAACTGGTACCTTATACAAGGAAGAGAGAGTAAAGCATACCTATTATTTATATCTGGATTCTTTTGAACCTAATTCTACAGTGCTTCTGCTTTCATATCAGGCCTCAGAGTTTTCCTGTTTTGGAGGAATTACAGATGCAAAGAAGTTCTTGGCTTCTCTTCTCCCACCTTTTTTCTTGGGAAAGTGTACCTGAAGGCACAGGACAATAGCCAGTGCTACAAGAAGGAAGCAGCTGGGCTCAGACCTTCTGCATGAGGTATCTGGTAGGACCTCATGATTGTCCTCTGCCATACAGATGCACACTTTTTACATATGCTGAATTTGTAAAGTATGAGAAGCATCCACAAAATTTGCTCATTAACTCTTCCCCAGATCCACAGGCTGGCTCTGCCTATAGGGATCTGGCCCTGGCAGGCAGAAATCTGTTACACCAAATTGTGGAGTGCCAGGCAGGGAAAGGGCAGCAAAATTTTGTTTCACAGGCCTGGGCTATAGTGCTCAGTTCACCTCTGCCTACTTTATGTCTGTCACCCCTGGGAATTGCTCTGTTCCAAAGCTTAGCATTACGTAAAATCAAAATGTACTAATGTGAATAAACATTCTTCCTTCCTTCACAGCCAGCATCAAACTCTGTGCTTCTCAGGCCAAACTGCATTTCAACACTTTTCTTATTGTATTACCAAATACTTCCTTCATTCACCACAGAAACTCAGCAGTGTTACACAGCCAGACTCCATATTTCTACAGCAGTGCTGTCTCACAGCGAGTACTTCCATGAAGCAAAGTAGAGGAGAGTAACTGTAATTAGGAATCTATTGCTTTCCCATTTCTCTGAGCTGATGTGTTGTGCACTGCAGTGGTCACAATCATATGCTGCTAATAATGTAACATGGGGCTCCCAGAGGAATGCTCCCCCATAGTTTACAGTAAACCTCCTCCACCAGAAGAAAATGATTTTGCTGAGAAACTGGCCAACTTACTATTTTTCCCATTTAAACAAATATTTCTCACAACCATAATCTAGGAACCTGCATCACTAAGCAATCACTACACTGCTTTATCACATTCTGCTACTGAGGAATATATTGAGTATATGGATAATACAAAGGAGGGTTCAGCAGTCATCAGTTGTAATGAGAAAGTCCAGCTATTACTTCCTGGAGTACTGTCTTTGAGGAAACAGTTTTATCACCATCACTGCTTGGTGCCTGATTCAGTTTGGTGGATGCCAAAGGTAAAATTGTTTTCACAACCATTCCTGATGAGCTAAAAAAAAGTTATCTGTCGCAAATACAGTTTAGACAAATATGGGAAGGAACTCTTGTTCATCACTGGAGTGGCAGAGTTTCCCAGTGATCTCTTTAAGTCCTCACAAGCCTTTTCCCTTACTTCACTGGGCAGTCACATAATTTTCAACAATAAAATCAT